TCCATGGAAAATCCATGGAAAATCCATCAAATCCACCCCAGCCCGAGGCCATTCCCAAGGAAAAATCCACAATCCAGCCCCAAAATTCCCGGATTTCTGCGTGGAGTGACCCCAGGAGGAGCCTGGGTTGTGAATTCCCGAAGTCTGGGATGCAGGAGTTGGGAATAATTCCAGTGTGACCTCCCCATCCTGAATATTCCATGGGAAAATCCACGATTTCCTTCACCTGCCCGGCGGGAAAAATTCATTCCCGAGGTTTTCTTGGCAAAAAAAAAAATTCCTTTTCCTTTTTTTGGGATTTCTTCCCAAAATTTCCTCTTTTCCTGGAATTCCCCCCATCCCACGTGGTCCCAGCCTGGCCTGGGAGAACCCGAGGGATGAAGAATCCTTTGGGAATTCTGTTCCAGGCAGGAATTCCATCCCAAAATCCCACAAATTCCTGCTTTTTCCAGCATTTCTCCATCCCAAGGATCAAACCCAAAAATTTGGATCCCAAAGATTCCCCCATCCGGAATTCCCAAGCGCCAAATCCAATGGATTTAACCCCAAAAATAGGCGGGAAAATGATTTAAATTCCACAGGGTGTTGGAATGTGTTGGAATTCTGCCTCATTCCCACCCTGAACCCCTCGGAAAACCGGGATTATCCCAAAAAATTCCCACCTCAATCTCCTCTCCCAGCACATCCTCCTCGTTGGGCTCTTCCTCGGCTGGAAAAGAAAAACAGGGAAAGGTCAGAGAGGGGAAAAATCCTCGGGGAATCCCAGAAAAAGGCGGATTTTACTGGAGAACGGGAATTCCAGGCGGGAATTCCGTGGGATTTGGGAGCACTCACCGTGTTCCTCCAGGTAGGCCTGGAGCCGATGGATCAGGTCCTGTTTGTTGCCTTTGGCTTCCAGGCCCCGGGCCAGGCACTCCTGCTTCAGCTCTGCCAGCTGGAAAACAGGGAATGGCAGCTGGGAATGTGGGAATGGCAGCCGGGAATTCGGGAATTGTCCCGGGAATTGTCCCGGGAATTGTCCCGGGAATGTCCTGGGAATCATCCCGGCCCCTCCAAGGGGTCCCGGCCGGGGCAGGAGGAGCTCAGGGGCCGCCAGAGCCGGGACCGGTTCCTCTTCAGCTCCGGTTCTCCCTCAGCCCCGGTTCCCGGTTCTCCCTCAGCCCCGGTTCCCGGTTCTCCCTCAGGCCCGTTCCCGGTTCCCCCACAGCCCCGGTTCTCCCTCAGCCCCGTTCCCGGTTCTTCTTCAGTCCCGGTTCCCGGTTCCCCCACAGCCCCGGTTCTCGGTTCTCGCTCAGTCCAGGATCTCGGTTCCCCCACAGCCCCGGTTCTCCCTCAGTCCCGGTTCCCCCTCAGTCCCGGTTCCCCCTCAGTCCCGGTTCTCCCTCA